TGCCCGGCCTACCCGCCTCTCTCTGCCCCCCCCAGCTACGTGGTGGCGCACACGTTCGGGCGCCGGATGCTCTACCCCGGCTCCGTCTACCTGCTGCAGAAAGCCGTCATGCCCATGCTGCTGCAGGGCCAGGCCCGCCTGGTGGAGGAGGTGAGTCCAGCCCCCTTGCTCTAACCACTAGCCCCCGCCCCCTGCGCTGGGGGGAGAACCCAGGAATCCTGGCTCCCGGTCCCCTTGCTCTAACCACTAGGCCCTGCTCCCCTCCCTGCGCTGGGGGGAAAACCCAGGAATCCTGGCCCCCAGCCCCCTTGCTCTAACCGCTAGCTCCCGCTCCCCTCCCTGCGCTGGGGGGAGAACCCAGGAATCCTGGTTCCCAGCCCCCTTGCGCTAACCACTAGGCCCCACTCCTGCAGCCGGGGGAAGGTCCCCTGAGTCCTGACTTTCCAGCTGAACCTGGCTCCAATCTTTCTTCCCTTCCCTTCCCTTCCCCCCCGCTTCTTCCTCCCTGTCCCCTCCCCGTGGCGGCGCAGTACAACGGGAAGCGCGCCAAGCTGCTGGCCTGCGACGGTAACGAAATCGACACCATGTTCATGGACCGGCGGCAAAGCTCCGAGCCCCGCGGCAAGAAACTGGTGAGCGTTTCCCTGCCTGCTCCGGGGGGCTGGAGTCAGCTGGGGCTGGAACCGAGCTGAAGCCGTGGAGGGGGAGTGGGTTACACAGGGGAAATATCCTCATCACCAAAGTGCAGCCACCTCTGGGGCAGAGCAGCTGGGGAAACGGCCGCACGACGGGCCTCGCCCAGCGCTGAGATGCGACCAGCTCTGGGGTGGGGAACACAGGAAAGCCACAGCAACTTAGGGCAGAGGGAGGCAGGTGGGCTGGGGCCGGAGAGGGAACCCCAAAGGGGGCCCCTGTGTCTGCTGCTGAGGGCCCCTCTTTATCCCCTCTGCCCCCCAGGTGATCTGCTGCGAAGGCAATGCTGGATTCTACGAGGTCGGCTGCCTGCCCACCCCCCTGGATGGTACGATCGGGCGTCACGAGGGAGGGATCCCCCCTCCTGTTTCCTCCGTGGTAGAGTCCAGTCCCTTTGGCAACAGTGGGGCACAGCTATGCTTGGACTAGTCCACTTCTCTGCATGGGGGGGGCAATGGCTGCTTTTGGACCAGTCTACCTGCTCTGCAGGGCTGGTGATGTTGCTCTTTGGGTCAGTGCATTCCTGTGCTTTGGGACGGGATTGGTGGGGAGAAGGGGCTGCCTTTTGGAGGCATCCATTTTGTGCATGGAGGTAGGGGTGTCCTACCCTGCAGCTGTGGTTCTCCCCCGCCCCTCCCCCCCATATTCCACAGTGGCACTGCCCTTCAGTTCCCTGCACATTGTTGCAACTGCTGATCTCTCTGGCACCTGCTGGGGGTGGGTTGGCTCTGTCCCTCACACATTAACACGGCCTCCCTCCCCCGTTTCTCCCTCCCAGCTGGCTACTCAGTGCTTGGATGGAACCACCCCGGCTTTGCTGGCAGCACGGTGAGTTATGTGACTCAGAGTCCCAATTGCTGTCTGGGCACGTGGGACCCAGGCGTCCTGGCTCCCAGCCCCTAGCTCTAACCACTAGTCCCCGCTCCGCTCCCAGAGCTGGGAGAACCCAGGCGTCCTGGCTCCCAGCCCCCAGCTCTAACCACTAGTCCTCGCTCCCCTCCCAGAGCTGGGAGAACCCAGGCGTCCTGGCTCCCAGCCCCCAGCTCTAACCACTAGTCCCCGTTCCCCTCCCAGAGCTGGGAGAACCCAGGCGTCCTGGCTCCCAGCCCCCAGCTCTAACCACTAGTCCCCGTTCCCCTCCCAGAGCTGGGAGAACCCAGGCGTCCTGGCTCCCAGCCCCCAGCTCTAACCACTAGTCCCCGTTCCCCTCCCAGAGCTGGGAGAACCCAGGCGTCCTGGCTCCCAGCCCCCAGCTCTAACCACTAGTCCCCGTTCCCCTCCCAGAGCTGGGAGAACCCAGGCGTCCTGGCTCCCAGCCCCCAGCTCTAACCACTAGTCCCCGTTCCCCTCCCAGAGCTGGGAGAACCCAGGCGTCCTGGCTCCCAGCCCCCAGCTCTAACCACTAGTCCCCGTTCCCCTCCCAGAGCTGGGAGAACCCAGGCGTCCTGGCTCCCAGCCCCCAGCTCTAACCACTAGTCCCCGTTCCCCTCCCAGAGCTGGGAGAACCCAGGCGTCCTGGCTCCCAGCCCCCAGCTCTAACCACTAGTCCCCGTTCCCCTCCCAGAGCTGGGAGAACCCAGGCGTCCTGGCTCCCAGCCCCCAGCTCTAACCACTAGTCCCCGTTCCCCTCCCAGAGCTGGGAGAACCCAGGCGTCCTGGCTCCCAGCCCCCAGCTGCCATGGACGTGGTGCTGCAATACGCCATCCACCGCCTGGGCTTCCTGCCCGAGGACATCGTGGTGTACGCCTGGTCCATCGGGGGCTTCGCAGGTACCAGGCTGCGGGGCAGGGAGCCCGTGGGGCTGGGGCGGGAGGCAGTGGGAGTCGGGGGGGAGGTGGAGCTGCCGTAAGTGGACCCCCCTTCTCTGCCCACATGGTTCAGCCCTTTTCTCCACCTCCTCCCCCCCACCATGGTCTGGCCCTATTTATTCCCCCCCTTTCCCTCCACCCACATGGTTTGGCCCTACTTTAAGTGCCCCCCCCTTCTCTGCCCACATGGTTCAGCCCTTTTCTCCACCTCCTCCCCCCCACCATGGTCTGGCCCTATTTATTCCCCCCCTTTCCCTCCACCCACATGGTTTGGCCCTACTTATTCACCCCCTTTTCCCTCTGCCCACATGGTTCGGCCCTATTTATACACATCCCTCCGCCCACATGGTTCAGCCCTTTTAAGTGCCCCCCCCTTCTCTGCCCACATGGTTCAGCCCTTTTCTCCACCTCCTCCCCCCCACCATGGTCTGGCCCTATTTATTCCCCCCCTTTCCCTCCACCCACATGGTTTGGCCCTACTTATTCACCCCCTTTTCCCTCTGCCCACATGGTTCGGCCCTATTTATACACATCCCTCCGCCCACATGGTTCAGCCCTTTTCTCCATTCCCTCCCTCCGCCCACATGGTTCAGCCCTTTTCTCCACCTCCTCCCCCCCACCATGGTCTGGCCCTATTTATTCCCCCCCTTTCCCTCCACCCACATGGTTTGGCCCTACTTATTCACCCCCTTTTCCCTCTGCCGCCCTGTTTGTTCACTCCCCCCCTTCCCGCTGCCCACATGGTTCAGCCCTTTTCTCCATCCCTCCCTCCGCTTACATGGTTTGGCCTTTTTTTTTAAATCCACCCCGCTTCCCTTCTTTGCCCACCTGGTTTGTCCCAGACACATGGACTAGCCCAAGAACCCACCAGCCAATCTCATATCACAGTCCCCCCCCATCATGTGACTCCAACCAGCCAATAAACACCGCCCAACCGCCACCCCTCGTGCCACATGTTTTGGAACCTCCCATGTTGCACGATTGTTTTCACGTTCTCCTTCCTCGTGTCCTAGGAGGGCTGGTCACCAGGACGGTGAGGCAGCATCTGAACTTAAACAACGGCGAGCAGCTGTGCAGGTAAAGATGGGGTGTTGGGGTGCGGGCGGCCGGGAGAAGTGGGGACCTGGCGAGTGTCGGTTCGGCTAATAATTCTGCCCTGGGTGACGGGTTCTGGCTGTGAACCCTGATCTCTTTGCCCACGCTTGCTAAGTTTTTGGCCTTGCTGATAACCTGTGGAACTCACTGTTGCTTGATTTAATACACATTCATGGCTAAATCCCTTTTTTCCCCTTAGTCTTTCCAAATATCCTGTGGCAGGGAGTCCCGCAGGTTAACTTGATCCCTTCTTGAGCTCCCCCTTAATCTCAGCCCTCGCTAATAACCCTTGGGACATCTTGCTGATGGTGAAACATCTCTGTCCAAGATGAGAGAGAATTCACTCCCTCCAGACAGGCGGCCTCACTTAGCTGTTTTATTTCTCTGTTCCCAAGATACCAGGGTCCCATATTACTGGTCAGAAGAACGAAAGATGAAATTATCACCACCACGTGAGTAAAGCTTGGGGCCGGGGGCTAGTGGCTAGAGTTAGGGACCTGGGAGCCATCCTGGTTCCCCTAGGGAAGGATGTGGGGCATTATGGGATTTGGGGAGTGAATTCTGAGGTTCTAGAACTGTCAAACACCTGTAAACGAGCCAGCTGAAAAAATACCCTTAACTCTGCCCCTTGTTGGCATCCTCTAGGGTCCCGGAAGATATCATGTCCAACAGAGGGAATGACCTGCTCCTGAAACTCCTCCAGCACCGGTGAGTCGCAGGAGCCCAGGGTCGGAGTTGTGGGTCGGGAGTGAGGGGCGCGGCCGACCCCAGCGTGTCTAACCACTCTGCCCCCGGTTCCAGGTACCCCAAGGTGATGGGCGAGGAGGGGGTGCGAGTCGTTCGGGAATGGCTAGAAGCTTCCAGCGCCGTGGAGGAAGGTAAATGCTCTGCCCACCAGGCCCTACTCCCCTCCCAGAACTGGGGTGAGAATCCAGGGGTCCAGGCCCCACATCGGCCTGCTCTAACCTCCTGCTCCCTGCAGCCTCGAAGAAGACTGGTGCCTGTCCGTGCTGAAATCCTACCAGGCCGAGCACGGAGACCGCTTTCCCTGGAGCCTGGGTGAGTG